AATTCCACTCTTGAATCTTATGGACATTCTCTTCCTTCCATTCCAGTCAAACAGGTTGACCCATTGTTAGACATTCAAATCACTCCGGCTTCTGTTGCTAAAGTCATATCTCAATTAAACTCGTCTACAGCTTGTGGTCCAGACAACATTCCTGTCACAGTCTTGCAGAATTGTTCTCCAGAACTTTCTTCAATTCTCTCTAAACTATTTAACAAGTGTTTGACTGAGTCTTGTTTTCCTGCTTGTTGGAAAATGGCATCTGTGGTTCCAATATTCAAAAACTCTGGAGAAAGTTCTGACCCCTCCAATTATCGTCCGATCAGTCTTCTTTCTGTTTTTAGCAAGGTCTTTGAGTCTTTGATTAACAAATTCCTCACATCTCATCTTGAGTCAAATAAACTACTGTCAGACAATCGATACGGTTTTCGATCCTCTCGCTCTACGGCTGACTTGCTAACTGCTGTAACTGAAAGATTTTATCGTGCATTAGATGGAGGCGGTGAGGCTAGGGCTATTGCTCTCGACATATCTAAAGCTTTCGACAAAGTTTGGCATGCTGGTCTTCTCCATAAGCTTGCTTCATATGGTGTTTCTGGGAAAGTTTTTGAGATAATCAAATCATTTCTTTCTGACCGGTTTATTAAAGTCATCCTTGAAGGCCAACACTCTTCTTTATTTCCAGTAACTTCTGGGGTTCCCCAAAGTTCCATCCTGGGCCCTGTTTTGTTTCTTATCTACATAAACGACCTTCCTGACAACCTTTCATCTAAAGTAACTCTTTTTGCTGATGACTCAACTTTATACTCCTGTCTTGACAAAAAGTCTTCTCTTTTCGATCGCCTAGAACAAGCAGCTGATCTTGAATCTGATCTCACTTCAGTAATAGATTGGGGTTCACAGTGGCTTGTGAATTTCAACTCTAAAAAAACCCAATTGCTTACTGCAAACAACTACCGTAATATGGTCAACATTCCTATATTAATGAATGGCAATCCTCTTACTGAGTCGTCCTCTTTACGTCTTCTTGGATTATCGCTTACTACTGACCTTTCTTGGAAACCATATATACAATCGATTGCTAAATTAGCTTCTGCTAAGGTTGCTTCTCTTTATCGTGCTCGCCATTTCCTTACTTCTGATTCCATTCTCTACCTCTACAAATCTCTTATTCGTCCCTGAATGGAATACTGTTGTCATATTTGGGCTGGTTCTTCTAACGATTCACTCTCTCTTCTTGACAAGGTCCAAAAACGCATTGTAAATGTTGTTGGACCTGGACTATCTGCTAAGCTTGAACCTCTTTCCCATCGTCGTAAAGTTGCATCTCTTTCTCTTTTCTACAGATACTATCATGGTCACTGCTCAAAGGAGTTATCATCTCTAGTTCCATCAACTAAAATTCATTCTCGTTTTACTCGTCATTCAGCTAAGTCTCATTCGTTTTCTGTATCTGTCCCTGCATGCTCTAAAAACTTTTATTCATCTAGTTTTTTTCCCCGCGCTTCAATCCTTTGGAACTCTCTCCCATCTTCATGTTTTCCTGACTCATACAACCTTCAATTTTTAAGTCTTCTGCCAACCATTTCCTTGCTCTATAACTCTGTTCTTTTTTTTTCCTAGTAACTCCCAACTTAATAGTGGTTGCTTGCAGCCTTGTTGGGAGTGAATGCAAATAAAAAAAAAAAAAAAAAAAAAAAAAAAAAAAATTGAATATTTGTAACGGTATCCCTTTTATAAACTTTAAACTCGTATTTTCCTTTGGTGTTATTTATTATGGTTACATCGAGGAAGGTCAGAGTTTTGTTTTCACGTTTAATTTCGATTGTATATTGTATTGCAGGGTAATTTTTGTTCAAGATAATTAAGAACTTCTGTCTTTTTTTTTTATTTTATATAATATTTAGAAAATGTTTGTCTTTGCTATCGTTATTTCTGCTAAATATTATTTATTTTCGATTATTTTATACTTTTGTTATTTTTCTAATAAGGTCATTTTATGCAAAGTTGTCTAAAGATATCAATCATTTCAGATTTTGATAAAATATTTTTTAGGATTTTATTATGATACTTTGATAAATCATATTTGATTCTGTTGCATTGCATTTGTGGCCTTTTATATTTTTCTAATAAAACGTTAAAATAACAAAAAATATTTCTGAATAAACCAATCAAAAGTGTTAATAACAAAAAATTTTAAGTTTCATTTCATTTCTACTTTTTAATCCCTTGTTTCCGAACTATAGTTTGGAATAAAAAAATAAATTTTGTCTCATTTAACAGAGAAAGAAAAGAATTTTTCACCAGAAGCAAAATTATTTCGGCATTGTTAATCGAACCTGTCATTTCGAAAAGGACACAAATCCAAAACTTTTAACAGTTAGTTTGTAAATTTAAATTAAAAATTTGTGTATGATTTATTTTTTTATAAAAAATAAAAGTTACATAAGTTATTTACGTTCTTTATTTATCTACTTCTATGTTTAGTAACTTTACCAGCGTAGACATTATTTTAATAAAAATCATGTTTTTGTTGATTTAGAGAAGTTTTAATAAATGGACTTGTGCCCTTTTCAAAATGACAGGTTCAAAAAATGGTAAGTGGGATCAAACCTGATTTCACAATTAACGGATGAGTTAATGAATAAACATATGTCCATACCAAGCTGACTAGTAGACTCAAATCAAAAGATAATAGTCATTAACAATTGCATTTAAATATAAACAATTGAACTTCAATAAGTTTTGCACGCAGGTTTGGTGAATTTTGCAAGAAGTATTATTTAACGGATAAAAAAATTGTTTGATGACCACAAGTATTTGTAAAGAATAGATTAAAACAACAGTAGTATAATGGGTTTCTTTGTTTAATAGAAATAATAAATACTTCATTTATGTTTTAAATAGACAATTAATACTCGAATCATACTCACAGTTATTTCATGACACACAAGAAGCTATATAGTCACTTTACTAAAACATGAGTTTTAAAATTTCAAATACATATCATTTTAGGTATTTCACATTTTAGTATTTCACATATTCACATAGTTAGTATGTAAAACCCAATAATTGGGTTTGTATGTAAAACCCAATAATTGGATTTGTATGTAAAACCCAATTATTGGGTTTTACATATATATGTTTATTCATTAGTTCATCCTTAAATTGTGAAATCAGGTTTGATCCCACTTTTTTATGTATTTTTGTTTAGCATCTCATCATACAACCTTTCTATTTTTCTTTTCTTCACCCTAAGATTTCCCTTTTTCAACGCTGTTTCTGATCAAGTTGACTACGCTCTTTCTCTTCAAACTTCAGCCAATATTGTTGGTTATAACCCTGATAGTGACTTCAAAGTTCAAAACATTTACTTTTCTTTTATTCATTGCTACTTAAGTTATGCGAACATTGCTTGGTGTAGCACTAACGCGACGAAAATAAAAAAAATTACTTAGCAAACAAAAACAGGCTATGAGGATAATTTCAAACGTAGATCGTTTTTCACACACACAAACACTTTTTAATAAACTCAATTTCCTAAATGTATATAAATTAAACCTCTATCAAGTTCTTATTTTCATGTTCAAACTTGATAAAAATATATTACCAATCTTATTTTATTCAATTTTTGAAAAAATAAATCACATATACCCTACAAGATTTTCAAAATACAACTACACTCAATCCAAAACTTATTATTCCGCTACTAAATTCTCTATTGTAAACCAAGGACCAAAGTTGTGGAACATAATATTAAATAATGAAATGAAAACTAATTATTCTCTAAACCAATTCAAAACAAAACTTAAGCAATTACTTTTGTTAACTGAAAATGAATTAATTTTTTTCTAATAAAACTTCTTTATATTAGAAATCAATAATTAATAGTTAATTAATTACTTTAGATTATTAATTCATAATAAATCAACAATTGTACATATATTTTTATCATTTTAAATGATAATCTTCTTTTTGAGAAATTTATTTTTTATTTTTGCGTTAACTATTAATCTTTTACTTTTATTTTATACTGTTTATTTGCTTTTACTTAATTGACAATGAAACGTATTATAAATATAATTAAATAAGTTAAACTATAAAATGCTCTACCAATAAAATGTTTTTATATAAAATCATATCTTCTTATTTTTCAAACCAAGTCTTAAATGTTATTTTTGTCATTTTAATATTTTATTAAATTTTAAATTTAAACAATTGTAAAATCTTATTCTTTGAAAAACTACAAAATTTTAACGATATGCGATATATTTAAATTTTCTTTTATAATTTAAATTAGAGATATATACATTGAAACTATATTTTATTGTTAAACTATATTTTGTCTAGTAATGACGCATTTTTTGGGGCTTAATGATAAGACTAAATTTGTCTTCTTCTAGCCCCGGTCATGTAATTATTTTTTTTATAAGTTACGACTGTAAATTTTTTTTTTATCGGCAAAAAGTGTAAATAAATAAAAATAAAAAAAAGACTATCATATTTAATAACTTGACTTGAGTACCACTCATTCTGTTAACTCTAAAACTCAAAACTTTTATCTTTCTTATCTCTTTCTTAGGTAGTTAACTTTATGACTTATTTTCCAGATAATTGTAGTTATCTTCACTCCTAGACTTGTCTTTTATCTCTTAACATAGTTCCTACTACGTTTGTTTTAGTCCTCGTTTAGGTGAGAGTAGGGTATTGGCGAACACCTAAGTGGGAATGTTAATTAAAGACACCAGTTATACAAATTTGATCATACTTATTGCTTATCAATTAGTTTAACTATTCAGTCACAAACCCTCAAAAGGAACTTTTTATAAATTTTATTATAAAAGAAAAATTTATTACCATAATAAAACTATTGGTGTTTGGAATTACCCTACGTACATGGGCTTTTTCCGAACACACCGTGGGAGGGGGGGGGCAATCTCAAACACTATGGTGTAATAACAAACAAAATGCTAATTGTAATAACTTAATACAAAAACTATACTATGCAACAACAACAACAAAAAAGGAGTGGTTTTATATCCATAGAAACTACAACAAAATGTTGTTCAAGAAAAGAGTTGCATAAAATTATCGGAAATAAAAGTAAAAAATCAAATTATAGTGATCAACAATTGCAGCCTCATTACACTACTGCACGTCTAGAACTGAGCATGGGAAAAATAATTACAGAAAAATAAATTGTCAAATTTATTTTTCTGTAATGCTTTTTTTACCATGTTCGGAGTTACCCCGCGTTTGTCATTACCCCACTTTCTTCTAAATGGTTCAGGTCTCAGTAAAATGATCTCACTTAAACTTCTATGATCTTGTTTTATATCAAGTTCATCCTATTATTAGATTCATCTTACTATCAGACTCATCCTATAGATTCATCTTACTATCAGACTCATCCTATAGATTCATCTTACTATCAGACTCATCCTATAGATTCATCTTACTATCAGACTCATCCTATAGATTCATCTTACTATCAGACTCATCCTATAGATTCATCTTACTATCAGACTCATCCTATAAATTCATCTTACTATCAGACTCATCCTATAGATTCATCTTACTATCAGACTCATCCTATAGATTCATCTTACTATCAGACTCATCCTATAGATTCATCTTACTATCAGACTCATCCTATAGATTCAACTTACTATCAGACTCATCCTATAGATTCATCTTACTATCAGACTCATCCTATAGATTCATCTTACTATCAGACTCATCCTATAGATTCATCTTACTATCAGACTCATCCTATAAATTCATCTTACTATCAGACTCATCCTATAGATTCATCTTACTATCAGACTCATCCTATAGATTCATCTTACTATCAGACTCATCCTATAGATTCATCTTACTATCAGACTCATCCTATAGATTCATCTTACTATCAGACTCATCCTATAGATTCATCTTACTATCAGACTCATCCTATAGATTCATCTTACTATCAGACTCATCCTATAATCAGATTTATCCCATTATCAGATTTATCCTATAATCGACTCATCCTATTATCGCTATTCTTATTAAAATTTTAAACCGCAATATTTTGAATGTAAATAATTTTTTGTTCTTACCACAAAAACAACTTTCTAAAGAACCAACCTCTTTTTTTTTATTGCAAGAATTCGGTATTGTATGTTAAAAAATATATATTGTCTAAAGCTACTCTACGGGCACTTGTTTTTCAAAGTTATGTTCTAAATGTCTTTTAAACGTTCCTCACGTAAAAATGTTTAGAAGACGTTTAAAAGACATTTAAAAAACATTTATTACATAACTTTTAAAAACAAATGCCTGCTGGGTAAGGTCATTTTTTTTCAGATTTATTGCTAAGGTCATAATTTTACTAAATCTTGTACTTTACCCCAGACGGCAGGTTTTAGAGGCATTTGGAAACTTGGATGTTAGATTACCAATTTAATTAATAAGTAATCTAACATCCAGTCCATCTTTTAAACAAGGGTCTTATTTTATTACCACTTCGAATGAAAAGGCAAAACTATTTGCAAAAAACCTCCCCTGATCAATTTTTTAAATAAAGTAACCACACTTTTTCTGTCATTCCATAGAACAAAGTTAATTCAGAGATAAACGTCAGATTCTTTTCTGCGTCCGTTGCAAAAATTATTTATTACTTAAAATCTGCAGAGTGTGGTCCGTTATGGTTCTGAAAACATTTTTGTCGCAGTCTCTAAAAGTGTCCTTTAGAACTCTTCTCATTTCTTATGCAACAGATGCTTAACTGAATCTTGTTTTCATGATAGTAGACATGGGTTCAAGTTGTGGTTTAAATTTAAAAAAGACTTTGTTGATCTCTCTGATCCTTTTTTTACTTTCAATATTCCAATCTTTTTATTCTTTCATTCTTTCTTTTCTGCTTTCAATGTTTGTTTTCTTCTTTGATTCTTCCGATCGTTTAAATCTTCGTTTTCTTCTTTCAATCTCCACACAACTATTAGCAAATAACAGTAAGAATGACAAATAACAGTAAGAATGACAAATAACAGTAAGAATGACAAAAAACAGTAAGAATGACAAATAACAGTAAGAATGACAAATAACAGTAAGAATGAAAAATAACAGTAAGAATGACAAATAACAGTAAGAATGACAAATAACAGTAAGAATGACAAAAAACAGTAAGAATGACAAATAACAGTAAGAATGACAAATAACAGTAAAAATGAAAAATAACAGTAAGAATGACAAATAACAGTAAGAATGACAAATAACAGTAAGAATGACAAATCTTTGAATCTTTTATTAAAAAAAGTTTTAAAATCTTGTGTAATTCTCTATCACGGAATTCAATTCAACGTTCTATTACTAAATTTTTCAATTCAACGTTCTATTACTGACTCGTTCAGTTCAGTGTTTTACTACTGACTTGTTCAATTCAACATTCTATTACTGACTTGTTAACCATTATGACAGAGAAGTTTTATCGCTCATTAGATAGTAGCGGAGTGACAAGGGTTACTACTTTTGACATATCAGGGACCTTCAATTAGGTTTTTCATGCTGGTCTTCTCTATTAACTCCTTTCATATGGTGTATCTGGAAAAACTATTACCGTACTTAATTATTGGTTTATAATAATGAACCGTTGCACACTAAATCACTTTTACTGGACAAAACTAATAACTCGTCGTATAAAAAAGATTTAAGAACCATTTTTGCACTGTTTAGTAATTTGAGGATTGCGGCTTCAATGATGATATTATTTTTAACTTTAGGTTACTATGGATATCTAAGTTGCTTAGCAACCACGAGCCGCAAACATCCAAATCGTCTCGGGAGTATGCTTGAAACCGACAATAAAAAAAAACAAGTTTCACTGAATAAAAAACAACAAAATTCACTGAAATGGTTTTTATTAAAATATCAAAAAATGAATTATTTTAGGGATATGCTGCAACGTTTTAACCATTAGTAATTGCAATTATTCAGCAAAAGGTTAATTAAAACTCAGTAATTAAATAGATCTACTTGATTTTAAAACTATATGTTAATTTAAATTCTTTTCTTGCTTCAAATCATAACACGACATTTGATTAAAAAGACAACTAAAACAATTTTTAAAAAATCAAAGAAAATTGTTTTCTAAATAACTTAATTTTAAAGTTTTATTAGCTGTATATCATAGTTCCATTCATTCTTGTAGTACTCCATTCATTTAATATGAACTTTATAAAAAAGTTGTTGTTTGCCGTTTCGTTGCGCCATTTTTAATATTTTTCATTAATATTATTGGCGAAGCTTCAAAATTTTATATTTTTAAATTATTACAAACATACCTATTTGCGTCAACTATAAAGATTAGGCATTTAAGTACAGTCTTGATGTCATTTTTTTATTGTTCACGAAACAAAAAGTTACAAGTATAGTCCCAAAAAATTTCAATGGTGTTAAACTTCCATCTGTTTTATACTTCCATACCTTAGCAAATATAAAGTAGAAAAAGTAATAACTTTATTGAATTTCTCCCATAATTACCACATTGAATATTTTGATACTAAATATGTAGTGGTACAATGAATTTTTTATTTGGTTGATAGTGACACCTAAAATGCCTGACGCTTCATTTTGCATAGTTACTAGCTTAAGTAACTTTTCTTCTAGAATCAATTTTATAACTAAACTAATATTAATGTGGCAGTCTGATTAAAAATTATTTTATGCATTTAAAAAACACATTCCCAATTACTAATTTTAAGTATTTTTAAGCAGTTTCTATTTTATATTTCATGAAACTACTACATAGTCCATATAAAAAGAAACCCTGAGTATGAACCTTTTTGTGTATATAAAATATTAGGATTAGCTAACTTCAGGTTTTCTTGTATTATATATGAATTAATATCAATACTTATCATGTTTTAACTATATAAATGTATAAACTTTGTTTAAAAAATTTTACAAATAAGTATTTTAAGATGCATAATTAATAAAAATAGTTTGTAACACTAGTCTTGCTGAGACCCAATTATTACATAACCATTTAGAATAAAATACATATAATGTTTTCGCCACATATAATTGGATGCATCATTTACCTGGAGGGAGATGAGTAAGCAAGTAGCTAGTCGCTATTTATGGGTGAAAGACGCGTTAAAGACGTATAAAATACGTAATAGTATGTATTTTAGACGTTTCAAAAATGTCTTGCGTCAACTAGTTATCTTTTTTTCACCGCTGAATTTTAGTTTTGTTTATTCAGCGCATTTTTTAAATGCGCTAACTTAAAACATGCAAGGAGTCGTGACCAAGTAAGTCATCAAAACAAAATATTATATGTGTAGTCATATAAGGCGCACGCATCTTCTGAGAAGCTAAATCCTAACCCTAACCCTAATCCTAACCCTGACTTAAAACATGCAAGGAGCCGTGACCAAGTAAGTTATCAGAACAAAATATTTTATGTGTGGTCATATAAGGCGCACGCATCTCCTGAAAAGCTGAATCATGATGGCGGTTAAAGATGGCGGTTAAAGATTTCGTAAATAATAATTTCGTAAAAAGTAAATAAGCTAAGATAAAATAAGTTATATAGAATTATAAAAATTTATATAAAATTATATAAATAAATATGAGGCGCTACTCGACTTTCCCCCCCCCCCCCCCTGTTTTCATGATTGATTTTTATAGAGTATATTATACTGATTCTAAATCATATAAAAACATAGGTCTGAAAACTTGAGGAAAGTACTCTAAACTGATGTTAAAGTATAAAAATCCACATTAAAAAACGCTAATATTCCACCATCTTTTTAAAAACATTTTAACACTGTTTTTAATTAATTTTTTAACTAACGACCCGGTTTTTATTGTTGTTTTTATATTTTATGATGTACATACATCGACTGACATATAGGAATTGGCGCAACTAAATGTACATGCATCGACTGACAAATAGGAATTGGCGCAACTATAAAAATCAATCATAAAAACAGGGGGGGGGGGGGGAAAGTCGAGTAGCGCCAAGTATAAAAATCCACATTAAAAAACGCTAATATTCCACCATCTTTTTAAAAACATTTTAACACTGTTTTTAAAATTTAGGTAATTAATTTTTTTAACTAACGACCCAGTTTTTATTGTTGTTTTTATATTTATGATGTACATACATCGAATGACATATAGGAATTGGCGCAACTAAATGCACATGCATCGACTGACAAATAGGAATTGGCGCAACTAAATGTACATGTATCGACTGACAAATAGGAATTGGAGCGATTAAATATACATACATCGACTGACAAATAGGAATTGGCGTAAATAAATGTACATATCTACTGACAAATAGGAATTGGCGCAATTAAATGTACATGATTTTGGTCAGGGTTTGGTTGGGGCAGGAAATCAATAAAAAATGCGTTTTAAATTGAAGCGTCGATAGAAACCAGGGTTTTTCAAAGTTTTCATTAAAAAAGAATTTTATTATAACCGAGTATGACAAAGATGGCTAATATTAGCGTTTTTAATGTGGATTTTTATACTTTAACATCAAATTAGAGTACTTTCCTCAAGTTTTCAGATCTATGTTTTTTATAAGATTTAGAATCAGTATAATATACTCTATAAAAATCAATCATTTTTTTTTTTTTTTTTTACATTTGTTGGTCGTATTACAACTATATATTGCCAAAAAAATAAATAAAATAAAAATAAAAATAATGATGATAATAATAAACTTTCACAAATATAAAATAAGGTATCTGAAAGAAGATCAAAGGATCTTGTCGTCAGAACCTTAAATAAGTTCAAACAAGCATTAACAGTATCAAATTTTTACAAATTTCATATATATATAATCCAAATATATATTTTATAATCCAAAGAGAGATCACGCGGATCTACTCACTAATATTTTATATAAACGTATACGTGAAGTAAAGAATATAAAATCAGCAAAATAAGTAAGAATAAACTTTTTACAAATATAAATAAGAAAAGGCAAAGTTATTAATTTATATTATTAATAATAACATAATACGTCTTCTAATGAAAAAATAAGGGTTTTTAATTTACT